GTTAAAGTTACAGGTAATTACGTTCTTCCAAAAGATGCCACCATTGCGACATCCCCATTCATAGTACATCGTGCAGAAAAATATTACCCGAATCCACTAGTTTTTAATCCAGACAATTTTCTACCGGATAAAATGCAGCAGAGAAATCCTTACGCTTATATTCCCTTCAGTGCCGGTCCGAGGTAAAAAGAAACCTCTATGCGACATAAAATCTTATTAATGGCGTCACGCAAATAGTACTGAATATACTGTCACATTTGTTAATGTTTGACTCTTTTTTTTGTAGGTCGTGCGTGGGACGAAAGTACGCAATGCTGGAAATGAAGATTTTACTGTCCACTATATTAAGAAAATATCGCATTACTTCTGACGTGGCATATCAAGAATTTCCTTTGCTAGCAGAGATTGCCCTGAAAAGGAGCGACGAATTCAACATCAAGATCGAGTTGCGTAAAACCGCATCTCAGACAGGAGATTACATCTCCTCATAGAAATGAATAAATACTAATATGGCAATGTGTATAAGTGTGTGCGTGTGTATGTATATAAATGTAAGTCTTGACAAGAAATCTATTTTTCATATTTAGAAGTTTATTATTTATTTATATATATCAGACTATATGTTTCTTTCTGAGAATTTTTCTATTTGCCTTTCCAAATTGCGTTTGTATGATGCACATGTGAAACAATAGTTTAAGTTGAAAATATTATTGAAAATTTTAGATATAATTGTCTTCTCTAGATCAGTTACATATAACACACTATCATTTAGGCTTTTGTGTCGATTATTAATATTTAATTACTAATATTTATATCTATATACATCTATGTTCATATATATACATTTATGTACATAATATATACATGTATGTATTTTCAAGGGAATAAAAGATAAAGCAAATAATACTCTTGAGACTTCTCTTCTTTCTCGACGTGCGCTCTTTCTCGATACAAATTTCGTCTAATTCCTTAGCATGCCATTCTACGAAATACATCATTGTCATACAGAAAACATTGTATAGAGACATCACTATTGGACGATTACAGCAGGATTACCTGACACAAATGTCAAACGATTTGTGTACAGTTATGGGCAGATAGATTGTCCAATTCTCTAGACACAGTAATATCGGAAATTTCGAATTTAGAACACGATTTCCGAATAATCATAACTGCTGATTATTCTGTGAATTGACAAAGATGTTTCAAAGCAGTAGTCACAATGCACAAAATTTTCAAAAATGATGCATTTTATTCGAAATTTCTGACATCACTATGCCAAGGAAATGAGAAAACCTTTCCGTAAGTGACTGTACGTGTGTAGAATTGGTAGTCAGAGAAGGAAAATATAATTTATAAATTATTTTACGGAATTGTACATGTACGAAAACAACACAGCTGAAATTAATGAAATCAGATGACGTAAATTTTTCACTGGACGAATGGATGTCGGTGCATATTATCAATATGTTCCACGTCATATAATAATTGAGGAAGGAAATGAAAATCAGTTTTATAGTCTTTGATTTGAACCTTATAGAGTGTCAATATAACGACATGTGCGACATAATTCCGTTGCAACCAGCGAGTTTTTAAAACAACATAGGGTTTAATACAAAAACCATTTTCTAAACTCTCGGCAAAAAATGATTCTATCGCGATATTTTCAATGTAATTTTTTGAATTTATTCAACTGTCCATTTGTATTGTCACAATAAATGATTCGTATATAAGGATCGTCAGAAAGAAAGAGAAAGACAGAACACATCGTAATCAAAGAAGATCTACGACTGTGTTGAATTCTCACGTGATACGAGGAACAGTATAAGTTTCCGTATTAACGTTGAAGATATATCTGTATGTCGAACACGGCTATAAGATCGTAACAAGCAGATAATTCGATCTTTATATCTCGTAATGTGCATGTATTTACCTGATGTAGTTGATGAAAATACTTTTACTTATTTAAATATTATTCTCACAGTTTCATCGATACGTGCTTATTCTAACGTTGCGACGGTACGACTCGCCCGCGGTCGGTCGTCGAATGCGAAATTCAAAGTTTAACGTCGCGTCGTGTCCNTTCGCGTCGTGTCCCGTGTGAGCTCGCCAGATTGCCAGGTTCAGAGAGAGATGTAATCGTAGTTATATGTGAAAACTAAATTAAATATATTCGCTCCTCATGATAATAACAGACAAGAAGGCCGAAATTAATAAAGATTCTGATGTACAAATACGCATAAGACTAATCGGCGTGATTTGGTATTACGCTGTAATTGTAATCAAAACAAATTATATATTTTTATATATTTATTAGATTTATTATATTCATGAATTATAAACAAAAAGGAACGCGGTAAGTACATATTCAGTATTTAGACGCGGTGTTTGAGTGTCGGCGTACCTGTTCAGCTTTGATCGGCGATTAATAGTAGGTTGCGACGCGTTTCCGTCAGAGTTTTTCTGCCAACGTGACTCGGTTCCAACTCGTATCGGTCTTCAGCGGTATTTTCCAACGCGGCTCTTCAATAGGACGTATATAATCACAAGTCAGCGCGCTTGTTAATATTAATTTTGCAACATTTTTTGCTCGTTTTTATCGTGGTAATAAAGGAAAAACCTGTTATTCAAATAATAATAATCAGCTCGTGATATTGTTGCAACCTTCAAGAAATTCTGCGTTCAACCTGCCGTCTACAATGTCAGTCTTTCGGCTCCTAACATTTGATAAAATTTAACGTGCCCCCCAATGCAGCCATCTTTCGCTAGTCCTATTCTGTCACATTAAGCGAGTCTCGGGGGTATAATCTAATTTATTAGAATTTGTCGGAAAAATCTGACTCGACCGCTTAATTAGAAATAAAAACGGGAAGCTGCATCCGGCAAGATCTCCGGACTCGTTCGTATACTCGTCGCGGAGGACGGCCATTTCCCCGCTTTCCAAGAACTCTGTCGCGAAAACGCAGTAAAACTTCCCAACCGCAGACGATTCCTGGTCGTCAAAAATTCGGCGATCTTCTTTTCTTTTGTCCCTTTATTGGACTCGTGAGTATTATCATTTTGTTTCTATTGCGAACCACTTATTAAAGGTTTTTAGAGATTATCATTCTTTAATCTATTAAAATCTAGCTTCTACACTTCTGCCGCTGCGTTTCCTGACCACCGCGCGACATTACTTTCGCGCTCGAAATTGGACGGACACAGCACCTTCCGAAGCGATCGGCGACAGTTAGATCCGAAACAGATACTTTGTAAAACTTATGTAATATTTATGTGAAAAATATGTAGAAATTATTTTATATTTTCTGTACGTGACTATACATGTAAGAAATTTTAATTGCATATAATGCGCAATTTTCATTTAAGAATGCAAGATAAAATAATCATTCAGTCTATTTTTAATATCGAGGCGATTCAATTTATTTAAATCATGGATAGACATGTTGTGCTACACCATACTCTCTCTCTCTCTCTCTTTCTATCTCTCGTTCTCTCTCGCGTCCAATTATTAAATGTTATTGATGCTTGTCATGATGACAAGTTATGTTCCTCAATCCCATTTTATAACTTAGAATTCGGCTAGCCTGACTTCACATTCATCCCGAATATATTAGTTATTATAAACTCAACATATGCCTATATCAACTCATTGGCAAACAAACCATAAAATACTAGTCGCGCGTAAAAGGAACCAGTCTCTTTAGGCATCAGTAGACCTGCAAGATCATGGAATATGTATCATAATGAGCTTTGTCCCTATCAATATTAATCTTGATGCAAGTACGAAAAGATTCTAAGAAACCGTCAGTAAATATTCTCTGTTTAGGATCAAGAACCAAATCGAATATCACACGAGCAGTAACAAAATACGACAAATTTTAATATCGGGTATATAACGGGAATGATTAAGCAACATTCAAAATACAAATATTTGTGTGATAATACGCCCAAAATTAAGAATAGTAACGAAGTATATAAAATTAAATGTTGGTTCGCGGGCGGCATACCTATTCTTGTAAATTCTATGAAGATTATGGCCGCGTAAACAAGTATTTTGGCTGTACGTTCATACCATTGTAAAGACGGCTAATAAGACTTTCTATGAGAAGACTAAATTTAAGACGATATATGATAAGATGTCCAACAGTAAGTAACGGATTTTAAGAGAAACTTAAGTTACAATAGGTTACAATTTCGATGAAAGTACGATTTGGAGAATATAATAGTGCAATGAAAAAGAGAAATTCAATATTTACGTGAGTACTTATACGAAGCGTCCCTCCGCTAAGCTACACAGGGTATTGCATAAGCGTCACTACGATAAATTGCCGCTGCAAAGAAATGTGTGAGAGAATGCGCGCGATCGGATTGATTTCGATCTTACTCGTTCACGCGTGCCATTGCAGCGGCAACCCCTAACAACATATATATTTATACAATATCCTATGTGTTAGTTTCTCGATCATCAACATCTTATTGTCGCTGTCTTCCTTCAAACTACGTATACTGCTTTATTTGGCATTGAGAAATACGTGGATCACGTCAAAGGGCGATTCGACATTGCCAAACATCGCGGTATGAAAGATGTAATTTTTTAATTTCTAAATTAACTTACGATACGTAGACTTTTGAGATGAAACAGGATTATATTGCGCGAGCCTATACGTAACAGTGTCGAAGATTTATATATAAGTCCATAGTCTGTAAACAAGAAAGAAACATTACATTATTTTCCTCGATTGCACAGTAACCTTGAATATAATTATTTTTTTCATGCTGATATGCATTAGCATTCGATCGTTCAATATAAAAACTGGTTACTGGGTACTAGTCCAATGAAGAAAATGTATAAGTGCATTAGTGAGCAAAATAAGTAATTAGTAAGTCGTAATAATTATGTTTGTATTGACGCAATCAGTGGTCTATATAAGAATAACGCAGAAGAGAAACGGAGCACATCGTATCAGATCCATTCAGTGTAAAAGTACCTACGCGTAACGATGGACACTCTCCTAATGGCGACATCATACCTACCGGATTTCAGTTATATTCTGCTGGCAGTAATCTTTGCAACATTGATCGCTTTACATTATTACGTCGAGACAACGCATGCAGTGAAACTTTCGCTGAAATTACCACGTACGTAACAAGCTCCAGCCCGACTAGGACTTCAATAAGAACCGAAAATCTCTATCGTGATATGTCCCACTTTATGCTTGAGTCATAATCGTTTGTTGTAAATGAATGTGCTATAATTAGTCCATATTTTCTTCCAGATCCACCACGGGTACCTATTATTGGTCATTTTTTACAATACCCAGAACTTAATCCAAAAAATCTTTTAATTACGATCAGTAAATATACCGGCAAATACGGTCCGGTAATATCAGTACAATTAGGAACACAAATTACTGTTTTCCTAACAGACGCGCAAGATGTAGAGGTAATCTTAAGTAACCCTGAGCACATCACTAAAGCCCCGGAGTACAAGTAAATAAATTTAAATCATTAATTGCGGAATTGTTATTTAAAATGTTGCGATACTGATAGAATAATGATAGAAAAGTAAGTTATTATAAATATATTTTCATCAATTTGATGTCATTTTGATATCGTCATGATTTTCTGTTCGCTTGTGAGTTGGACCATTAATCTATATGAACGTATTTAATTAAAATCTTCTCATATTGAAAAGCACCAGTTTAATTCCCATTCCCATTCTATTTAACATAAACTTATACTTATCATATAGATACTTTACGCCGTGGCTTGGGGATAGTATACTCTTCACTCACGGCACCAAATGGCTAAAACAGAGAAAAACGATATTAGACACATTTCGCATGAAAATATTGAGGACATATATATCTGTATTTTATGAGAACAGTCAGGATCTGGTGAGGCGACTTGGTGACGAAATCAACCAACGATTCGATTGCCATGATTACTTATCAGAGGTATCTT